GACAGCCGGCTCGACGCGCCGCCGGCCCGCGGCGCGCCCGCGCGGTCGCCGCCGCGGCCGCGCGGCGCCGCCGCCGCGGCCGCGGCGCCGCAGCGGGCGCCGCCGCCGCGCGCGCGCGCGGACGACCGGCGGCCCGCGCCGATCCGGCCCTACCGCGAGGCGGCGGCGCCGCCGCGGCCGCCGCGGCCGCCGAGCCCGCGGCGGCGGCGCCAGACCGCGGAGGACGGCGAGATCGTGCGGCCGGCGGCGGAGCCGCCCCGCGAGTCCGCGCCGGCCAAGGCGCGCAAGTTCCGGCCCGGCGACAGCCCCCGGAGCCCCGCGACGCCCGCGACGCCCGCGACGGCGCCGCCGGCGCTCCCGCGGGCCCGCGCGGACTCGGCCGCGTCCGCGCCCGCCGCGCGCGGCCCCGGCGGCGGCTGGCGGCCGAACCCGAACCGGCCGCGGCCGCGCGCGGGCTCCGCGCCCATGGAGGCCCTCGTCTGGCAGAAGAAGAAGCCCGCGGCGGCGGCCCCGCGGGGGACGGACACCAAGGTCTTCGCGCCGCGCGCCGCGCCCGCGCCGCCCGACGGCGCCGCCGCCGGCGCGCGCGGCGCCGCGCCGGGCTCGCCGGCGGCGCCCGGGGCCCTCCCGCGGACCCTGGGCGCCTGCGGCGCGCGGGCCGCCCGCGAGCTCCAGCTCACGCGGGGCGACGTCGACGCGCTGCTCCGCGCGGCGCTCGCCGGCGGCGACGCCCAGGGCAGCACAAGAGAGCGAAATTCCCAACTTCAAAGGCTCCGATCTCGGCCATTTTCCACTCGTTTCGGCTGATTCTTGGACGAGCGATCATCTCTCGGAACGGTCTCGAAGCGTGGATGTGATTTCCGTAACGCGCGCGCGTGGAACACTCACGTTGAAGCGACGTTGAATCACCCTTGTGCTGCCCAGGCGACGCCGAGGCGGCGATCGGCCGCGTCGAGCGCGCCTGCGTGGGCCGCTTCCTGCGGGGCAAGCAGTCGAAGCTCTACTTCCTGGGCGTCGTCGTGCGCGCGTCCTGCCCCCTCGACGAGCCCCGGCGCATGCGCTTCACCGTGGACGCGGGCGGCCCGCTGCCGGCCGGCGACGGCGACGCGCCGCGCTTCGTCGAGCTCGCGCAGGGCCAGGTGTCCAACGACTGCGTCGGCGACGCCGAGTTCGCCGCCTGGTGCGTCGACCGAGCGGCTTTCGAACGACGACGGATCCCAACTTCAAAGGCTCCTCTCTCGGCCATTTTTCACTCGTTTCGGCTGACTTTTGGACGAGCGATCATCTCTCGGAACGGTCTCAAAGCGTGGATGCTTTTTCTGGAACGCGCGCGCGCGGAAAGATTACAGCGACGTTGAATCTCGCAGGCGGAGCCGCGCGCTGGAGCACCTCACGGACGAGGAGCTCGCGCGGCCGCTCGACGCGCCGGAGGCGGCGCTGAAGCCGAGCGACCTGCGCCCGCTCGCCGTGCCCGTCTGCGGGCCCTGGGTCGGCGCGGCCTTCGACGCGCCCCTGGACCTCTCGAAGGCCCGGGGCCGCGACTCGCCGGCGTTGCTGCTCGACGACGCGCCGCTCCGCGACGACCTGCCGCCGGCGTTTTTGGACGAGCTGCCGTTCCGCCTCGACGACGCGGACGACGACGTCGCGCTCCTCGACATCGACGGCCTCGGCGCCTTCGACGACGCGCCGGCCGAGGCGCTCGCCGCGCCGCCGGAGGCGGGGCCCCGGCGGCGGCGGCGGAAGATCCCCAAGTCCATCGTCGACGAGATCTGCGACTCCGACGGCGGCTCCGTCTACGAGGACGTCGACGACGACGACGCGTCCGACGACGTCCGCGCGGCGTCGCGCGCCGCGCTCCCGGAGAAGAAGCCCGGCGCCAAGGACCCGCCGACCGTCGTGAGCGACGAGTCGCCCGTGTCCACGGTCCGCGGGCCCCACAGCGACAGCTCCTTCCTGGAGCCGCCGGACACGCCGCCGCCGCCGGGCCTCGGCGCGGACCGGAGGCGGAAGCGCAAGGAGAACCTCGCGGACCTCGAGAACCGCGTGCGCCGCATCGGGACCAAGGTCCGCGTCGCGCGCGCGCCCGGCACGCCCCGGGCCGAGGTCATCAAGATCCCCTCGGGCATGCGGACCTTCGTCCTCGTCAAGATGCTCGAGGGCGCCGACGGCGGCAAGGAATGCCTCTACATGCCCTCGGAGCTCATCCTCGACGAGTAGCCCCCCTCTGCTAACCTCCTCTCCCAGTGTGCGCGAGGGACACGACGAGGCTCGAGATGGAGGCCTCGGTGGTCGCACATCTGAGGACTCATCTGGAGGCTATCTGGCAGTGGGTCGGCGCGCGGATGGCGTCCAAGGCGCGGCGGGATGTGTTAGTCCCCGAGGAACTCGCGCAGCAGCAGGATCTGTCAGTGTGATGCGGCGCCGTGTTTTGCTGTGCGTCCCCGCGAAACGCAGGGCCGCTAGACATGAGTCCGGAGGCGGAGGTGGACCTCGGCCTAGGTGGTGCGGCCGATGTCGCCGAATTTCACCTCAGGGCGTCCGCGAGTGGAGCCGCCAGCACTGAGATAGCACTGGCAGACCTGAGCACGATGGCAAGCGACGCCGAGGCGCCGGCCGTACACCGGATCTTTGACGTCGATGCCCTCTCCGGCATCGTGACTTCGTTCCTGAACGTCCCAGCCCTCGCGGCGTTAATGAACACAGCGCCCGGCCTCATCACGGAGGGCGTCATCGACGGCCGACTCCAGCCGCCATCGGAGTACGAGCGCATGTTCACGCTCGAGGCCTTGACGCATTCGGGCCTGTTCGCAACAGTAGGTATTCTGTCATCCTTGCGCGAAAGAACCAACTTTGAACGCGCGCGAGCGGTGTCGGCACTTTTGCACGCCCGGGCGCTAACGCGAACCCGTCACAGGCGCGAGCATGGATCACGCGCGTGTCGGTGCCGACGACGAGCTCGCTCAGGTCACACTGTCTGGGCGACGGCTCTACTCACGGGTCTTTGGAGGATTCATCGCGGATGATGCAGTGGATGGTGAGTTTTACAGCATCCAGACGAGGCTGACCCACGCGTTCCACTCGGTGACGATGGCGGGCTCGCGGAATATCGTCCTGTTTCTCCAAGTTACGTGCACATCCTGGGACGATCCTTACACATCCCTGGATGCGCAATCGCTCGTGGCAAAGCTCAGCTACAGCGCGAATGGATCGACGGCGCACTTGCCGCTCTTCCTGTTCCACCAGAGCGAGGACGAAGGCACTCACCAGGACGGGCGCATGGTTGGGCATGATGATGCCGAAGGAAACTACATCGATGACTATGACTTCTACAATCCATTGTATTGGAGAAAGTTCTCCCCTGGCTCGCTCGACGAATTTAAAGAACACCTGGCGAACGACGACCCGCTTCTCAACTGCGATCTGGAACCGATACTATCAAAACTCTGCGTCGATTTTGCTCTTGACTGTCGGAGGAAAGGCTACCTGCGCAGTCGCGACCTTGATTGCATGCATCCTTGGGTCCGATGCTCGGACCTCCGCCCTCCCTGGGCCACTCTAGTGGACTAGGCTCGACCTTTGACGACTGAGTCGCTAGCCCGGTCGCAAATTCGAAGCGCGAGCGTCGTAATCGAGACTACGTGGGTATTACTCCCCGAGGAACTCGCGCAGGAGCAGGATCTGCCCCGCGCGGTACGCGACCGCGGCCGGCGGGTCGCCCGCGGCGCCCTCCTGGAGCGCGACGAGGTGGGCGAGGTCCGACGCCGCGGCCGCCCGGAAGTGGGCGCCGTCCGCGTCGATGTCGCCGCCGCGGCGCAGCGTCGCCTCGGCGCCCGCGGCCGTCAGCCGCCGGTCGTCGTGAGGGTTGTCCGCGAGGCAGACGCCGTGCGCGAGCAAAAGTTCGAGGTTCGGCCGCTCGCCGTAGTCGCGCGCGAGCGCTTCCCCTTTTCCGGCCGCGCCGGCGACGGCGATCTCGTCGCGGAGGACGTCGTAGCGCGCGGCCGTCGGCGCCCCCGTCGGCGCGAGCAGGTCCGCGCCGGGCAGGAGCAGCGCGTCGTCGCGCGACGCGGCGAGGCCCGCCGCGATGGCCGCGAGGAAGGCCGCGCGCGTCGGCGGCGCGCTCGCGAGGGCCTCCGCGTCCGCGTCCGCCAGGAATGGCAGCGCGAGCGCGACGGCCGCCGCCGCGGGCGCCGCGACGGCGAGGACCCGCGCGAGGCCGTTCGCGCCGAAGCGGCCCTCGAGCGCGTGCGACGCGACGACGTCGCAGGCGTCGTCGAGCGCGTCGCCGCCGCCGAGCTCCCGGAGCTCGCGGCGCCGGGCCCGGTCGCGGTTCGCGCGCGCGACGGCGTCCGGCGCGCCCAGCCGCCGCAGCGCCTCGGGCGACCAGTGCACGGGCAGCGCGTCCGCGCGCGCGCGGCGCGGCAGGGCCTCCGCGCCGCCGTCGCGCCAGGCGCGCGCGAGCTTGACCGCGAGCCGCTCGCGGCACGAGCAGCCCGCCCAGGCGTCGCGCTCGACGCCGTCGGGCGGGCCCTCCCACGACGTCGCCGCGAGGCACGCCGACCGCTTCGCGGCCAGGGCCGTGCCCGCGAAGGGCCGCGCGCAGCGCAGGCCGTCGGCCGTGCGCTCGAGGGCGTCGCTGACGAACGCGACGCGCCGCAGCTCGCTGAGGGAGAGCGGCTGCGCGAGTCGCGCGATCAGCGCGAGGCAGAGAATCCGCATTGCGAGCGGTCGTTGCGGCGCGGCCTCGGCGCTGCGAGCGGTCATTGCGGCGCGTCCTTGGCGCCGCGACGCCGAAGCTTGCCGTCTAGGATCTCGCGTCGGTGCAAGTTGTGTGCACCATCACTTCATCATCCTGTGGCAAAAACGCCTCCCAGCTTCTTCGAGGCGGCAGCGTCGTCGTCTCTCGGCTCGTCCATCTCTGCGGACCGGCCTCGGAGGCGCGGGGCACGCGAAGCACCGCAGCGCCGCGCGGGACGCGCAGCGGCAGCCCAGGAAGCCACTCTCCGAGCGGCAGCGGACAGCGGCAGCCCTCGGCATGGGTTCGTCCCAGAGCAGCGCGAGTTCGCGCAACGACGAGCTCCTGGGCTTCTCCTACGTCTCCCACGACGTCGCCGGCGTGCCCCACGAGCACCGCTTCTCCGTGGACTCGACCTGGGGCGTCGTCGAGTCGCGGCGCGCGCTCGACGGGCCGTCGTACGACGCCGCGCGCGACCGCTACACGCGCGCGTTCTTGGCGGCGGGCGGCGGCCGCGAGCCCGCGGCGTCGCAGTTCGCGGCGACGCGCGACGCCTGGCGCGACTACGCGGGGTCGCGGTCCGCGTCGCGGCGCGGCGAGGAGCGGCGCGGCGACGCGGCGCCCGCGCGGCGGCGCCGCGCGTCCGCGCCGCCGCCGCGGCGGCCCGACGCGGCCGCGGCCGTCGTCGGCACGGGCCGGCGCGGCTTCTGGCGGCGCGCGCGCGAGGAGCGCGCGCGCGACGCGCGCGCCGCGCCGCCCGCGGAGCGGCGCGCGTGGGCCGCCGACGACGCGGCGACGTTCGCCGAGGCGGGCCGCGGCGACCGGCGCGCGCGGGCCCGGCCGTCGACGACGCCCGCGGCCGACGCCTTCGTGTCCGGGCGGGCGGCGCGCGCGCGGCGCGCGCGGCTCGAGGCGCTCGTCGCCGCCGCCGGGGACCGGGAGCGCGGCGGCCCGCCGCCGCGCGACGACCGCGTCGGCGGCCGCGCGGTCGAGTACGACTCGTCGCCGTCGCCGCCGCCGGGGCCCCGGCGGTCCCTGTCGCGCGCGCTCAGCGGCCTGAGGCGCCGCGTGTCGTCCGCGCCGCCGCCCGCGGCCGCGGCCGCGGCCGCGGCGCCCGAGTCGCGCGTGGACCGCGACGACGAGTGCGTCGTCTGCCTCGACGCCGCGAGCAACGTCGAGTTCGACTGCCTCCACGTCGTCACCTGCGCGGGCTGCGCCATGAAGCTCGACGCCTGCCCCGTCTGCCGCGCGCCCATCCGCACGCGCACGCCCGTGCTCACGTGCGCCTAACAGCCGATTACCAGCCCTCGGCGTCGGGGCGGCAGCGGCCCTGGCGCTTGTAGTCGCGGGGCCGGAAGGTGACGTCGAAGTCCGCGCCCTCGCGCACGTCGCAGGACCCGCAGGGCTCCGAGCTCCACGCGAGCTCCGCGCCGAGGCCGCCGTTTTTGGGCGCGGCGACGTCGAAGGACACGGCGAACTCCACGGGGAAGAGGCTGTTCAGCGCCGTCCACTCGTCGCCCGTGACGATCTCGCAGGACCGGTGGTCGCGCGCGGCGTGGCCGCCGCGCGGCAGCAGCTCCGCCTCGTCGCCGCGGAGGAACGCGCGGACGTGCGGCGGCACGACGGGCAGCCCGTGGGCCGCGCAGAGGCAGTCGGCCGTGTTCGGCGGGCCCGGCCGCTTCGACGCCGCGACCTTGAGGGACCGCCGCCAGCGCTGGAGCCAGGGCCGCGGCACGAGGTGGTACTTGCCCGGCGTCAGCGGCGCGCCCGCGCCCGGCGCGGCCAGGCGGTGGGGCGGCAGGCCCCGCTTCGCGCGCTCCTTCGACAGGAGCCCGCGCAGCAGCTCCGACGGCCCGGCCGACGCCGCGCGGTCCAGCGCCGCCGCCAGGGCCTGGGGCGCGACGGACTCCCGCGGCGGCGGCGGCGCCGCGGCCGCCGCCGGCGACGGCGACGGCGCGTGCGGCGCGGCGCGCGGCCGCGCCCACCAGTGGCCCGGCGCGTCGCCGGCGCACTCGTCGACCTCGCGGTTCCGGAGCACGCGCTCGCGCTCGGCCGACGCCTTCTGCGCCCGGAGGAACTCCGCGCGGTCCGCGACGAGCCGCGCGCAGCAGCGGCACTCGGCCGCGACCGACGCCTTGAGCTTCGTCGACAGCGGGAAGCGCAGCGCGATGGCGCGCCAGGCGCTCCGGTCCACGAGCACGCGCTTCGACCGCGGCGCCGCGACCTTGGGCGAGAGGAACCCGTGCTCGCAGACGATCTCCGCGTTGCAGTCGGGCCACGGCGGCAGCTGCTCCGACGACCCGGACCGCCCGCGGCCGCGGCGCCGCGCGCCCCGCGGCGCGGACCCCGGCGCCGCGGCCGCGGCCCGGCGCAGGAGCAGCGCGCGGTGCGACTCGTAGTAGCGCCGCGCCTGCTGCGCCCACGACTTGGACAGCCAGTAGCCCCGGTCGTGCTCGCCGCTCGGCTCGCGCGCGTCGGCGACGCCGTCGGCGATGCGCTCGAGCTCGGCGACGCGGAGCGCGGCCAGCGCGACGCGCGGCGACGTCGGCTCGCGCGGCGCGACGCGCGGCGACGTCGGCTCGTGCGGCGCGACGCGCGGCGACGTCGGCTCGCGCGTTTCGAGGCGCGGCGACGTCGGCTCGCGCGGCGCGCCGCCCTTCCGCGGCGACCCCGACTTCTCCGCCGCGCGGAGCACGGCGGCGTAGGCGTCGCCGCCGACGGCGAGGCAGACGCGGGGCACGTCCGCGGCGTCGAGGAGGCCCGGCGCGGTCTCGCGAATCGCCGCGACGTCGCGCGCCGCGAGGCGGCCGAGCACGTCCTCGAGCAGAATCTGCGGGATCGCCCGGAGCGGGTCGACGCGCTTCGCGACGGGGCAGGGGGGGCAAAAGCTGGTCGTGACGACGGGCGTCGGCGTCGCCGCGGGGCGGGCCGCGCGCGCCGGCCGCGCCCGCGGCGACGGCGTCACGAGATTCGGCGGCGCGGTCGCGGGCTTCAGGGGCGTGGCGGGCGGCGCGGACATGGCGGCGGTTTAATAGCGTGTTCGTCGATGTCGATGGGGCGCGGCACGGCGGGCGCGGCGGCTGGCGGCGAGATTCGATGGGGCGAATGTCACGGTGTGGCGGTTAATTCTGATTCGGAGCGAATATCGGGGCGACGGGGTTAGATTGTTTGAAAATTGGATGGGGATGATGAGGGGAGTCTAAGATGTGTTTGTGATGCTGGTCGGAGGCGGAGGAGGAGCTGGTGCGGATCAAAATGACAAAGTTCGTGGCCGATGGCGTCGGTAGGTGCAGGTCGACGGCTTCGTCCGCGGCACCATCACCGCACCAACGTCAACGACGACCTGGACGACGACGCCTCTGCATCTCTCTGCTGTCTGTCGCCGCGGCTGCCTGCACTGCTGCCGTCGTCGCACGCGCGCGGAAGGCGTCCGACGCGCGCGACATACAGCGAAGCCATGCCCCTCTACCACCAGATCGTCACGACGAGCGCCCGAGCGGCGCCCGCGACCCTGGCGACGCTCTTCCGCCAGTGCGCGAAGCAGATCACGGCCCAGGGGGGCCTCGTGCGGTCCTGCGAGAACTACGGCCTCAAGAAGCTGCCGCACCGGTTCCGGAGCCGCCACGCGTCGGCGGGCGAGGCCGGGCGGTACCACTACGTCGGGCGCCACGTCGCGCTCTACTTTGACTGCGCGCCGACGGTGTTGCCCGTCGTCGAGAACACGCTGCGCATGCACACGGACGTGCTGCGCTTCACGACCATGCGCAAGGACGCGAAGATGGACCAGGTCAACTCGCTCAAGAAGAGCAACCCCTGGCGCGACCTCGACGACGTCCCCGACGCGCGATGATCGCTAGGATTCCTTGAGATGTACAGGCGGGGCCGGGGACCGGGCCGTGGTCGCGCGCCTAGGCGAGGTCCGCCGCGACGGCGTCGTGGAGCGCGCCGTCGCGGATGAGGTCCCGGACGGCGGCGATGTCCGGCGCCATCGCGCGGTCGCGGTCCCACTTGGCCGCGACGCCGCGGACGAGCGCGTGGACGCGCTCGAGCACGGGCGTCGTGCGCAGGGGCCGGTGGAACTCGATGGCCTGGCAGGCCGCGAGGATCTCGATGGCGACGACGTGCTCGACGTTCGCGACGACGTCGAGCGCCTTCCGCGCCGCGAAGCCGCCCATGGACACGTGGTCCTCCTTGGCCGCGGACGTGCTCAGCGAGTCGGCCGACGCCGGGTGGCAGAGCACCTTGTTCTCCGACGCGAGCGCGGCCGCCGTGCAGTGCGCGATCATGAAGCCCGAGTTGAAGCCGCCGTCGGCCGTGAGGAACGCCGGCAGCTCCGACAGGTCCGGGTTCATGAGCCGCTCCGTGCGGCGTTCCGAGATGTTCGCGAGCTCGGCGACGCCGATGGCCAAGTAGTCGCAGGCCTTGGCGGGGTACTCGCCTAAAAAAAACGGCGCGGTGATCGCTTCGCCCGCGAGGCGCGCTCGGAAAACCGCCGCCGTCGAAAAGAAGGACGCGGGCGCTCCGCGCCGTGGAAGTTGCCGCCGGAGATGATGACGGCGCCGCCGCCGGCGTAGCACGTGTCCCTCGCCGACTTGGTCCGCGTGCCCGCGGCGCCGCGGCCCGCGAGCCTCGCGCGGAGCTCCTCGTTCTCCGCGCGGAGCCGCTCGACCTCGTCCGTCGGCGCGGCCTTGGGCGGCGGCGGCGGGTCCGGCGGCGCCGCGGCCGGCGCGTCCGGCGACTCGCCCGCGAAGATCATGGGGTTGTCCGTCGCGCTGTTGATCTCGACGTCGAGCAACCCCTCGACGAAGGCGATGGTGTCGTGGGCGACGCCGTGGACCTGGGGCGCGCAGCGCATCGTGTAGGGGTCCTGGACGCGGCCCGCGTAGGCGTGGGACGTCCACAACGCCGACGGCGGCAGCAGCAGCTTCCGCAGCCGCGCCGCGACCGCCCCCTGCCCCGCGTGCGGCCGCGCGGCGTGGATGCGCGCGTCGAAGGCGCGGTGCGTGCCCTTGAGCGCCTCCACGGTCAGCGCGCAGGCCACGTCGGCGGCCAGCGCCGCGTACTTGGCGCGGCAGACGGCCTCCGCGCCCAGCGCGGTCATCATCTGCGTGCCGTTGATGAGCGCGAGGCCGTCCTTCGGGCCCAGCGCGAGGGGCTTGAGATGTCGCGCCGCCAGCAGCTCGGCGGCGTCGACCTGGCTCGCCCCGTCGGGGCCCCAGCACTGGCCCTCGCCCATGAGGCCCAGCGCGAGGTGCGACAGCGGCGCGAGGTCGCCGGACGCGCCGACCGTGCCCTGGGACGGGACGACGGAGATGGCGTCGGCGTTGTAGGCCTCGACGTAGGCCTCGAGCACGCCGATGGACACGCCGCTCCGGCCCTTGGCGAGCACGTTGATGCGCAGCGCCAGGAGCATGCGCGTGCGCCGCGGCGGCAGCGGCGCGCCGACGCCCGCGCTGTGGCTCCGGATCAGGTTCTCCTGGAGCTCGCTGAGCTTCGCCGGCTCGACGACGACGTTGCTGAAGAGGCCGAAGCCCGTGTTGATGCCGTAGGCGACGTCGTTCGACTCGACGAGCGCGTCGACGACGGCGCGGCTTTCCTTGCAGCGCGCCCAGGCCTCGTCCGAGAGGCCGATGGTCTGCCGGCGCGGCGACTTCGGTCCCTCGGCGAGGGCGAGGAGTTGTGCGGTTGTCAGAGAGGCTCCGTCGAGGAGGAAGAGGCTGGACATGCCGTAGGCGACGTCGTTCGACTCGACGAGCGCGTCGACGACGGCGCGGCTTTCCTTGCAGCGCTGCTTGGGAGGCTACTCGAGTCCTACCATGCGCAATTGATTGATCTTCTGTGGCAATTCTGTGTCAAGAATTCACCAATCACACACCAACTTTGTCGTCTTCGCACGCCGACCGCGCCGCCCGACGCGCCGCTCTGACCATGTGCCCGTCGCCCGACAAGGCCTCCATCGCTCCGCCGACGGACAAGCCGGAAAAGAACGCCTGGGCGCAGCCGGACCTCGAGGACTTTAGCATCCTGCGCCGCGGCATCCCCGACGAGCTGCCGCCCGCCAATCTGGGCCGGCGCGACCCGACGGTCCCCCACGCGCCCGTGCGGACGCCGAACCTGACGCCCGAGGGCGAGACCCTGGCGCTGCGCAACGCCCTGCGCTACTTCGACGCGAAGCACCACGCGACGCTCGCGGCCGAGTTCGCCGCGGAACTCCGAACGGACGGCCACGTGCACATGTACCGCTTCCGGCCGACCTACGAGCTCAAGGCCTACCCCTTCGCCAAGTTCCGCGCCGTCTGCAGGTGCGACGAGGCGGCGTGCATCCTGCTCATGGTCATGAACAACCTCGACCGGCGCGTCGCGCAGTACCCGCCAGGGCAGGACAAGAGAGCGAAATTCCCAACTTCAAAGCCTCATATCTCGGCCGTTTTCCACTCGTTTCGGCTAATTTTTGGACGAGCGATCATCTCTCGGAGCGCTCTCGACGCGTGGATGCTTTTTCCGGAACGCGCGCGCGCGGAACGCTCACGTTGAAGCGACGTTGAATCACCCTTGTGCTGCTCAGGTACCCGCAGGAGCTGATCACGTACGGCGGCAACGGCTCCGTGCTGTCGAACTGGGCCCAGTTCCTGGTGCTGGCCAAGTACCTCTGCGAGATGACGACGGACCAGACGCTGAGCATGTACAGCGGCCACCCCATGGGCCTCTACCCGTCGTCGCGGCACGCGCCGCGCATGGTCGTCACGAACGGCATGGTCGTGCCCAACTACTCGTCCAAGGCCGACTACGCGCGCATGTACGCCCAGGGCGTGTCCATCTACGGCCAGATGACGGCGGGCTCCTACTGCTACATCGGCCCCCAGGGCATCGTCCACGGGACGACGATCACGGTGCTCAACGCGGGCCGCAAGTACCTCGGCGTCGACGACCTCGCGGGCCGCGTCTACGTCTCCTCGGGTTTGGGCGGCATGAGCGGCGCGCAGCCCAAGGCCGCGGTCATCACGGGCGCCGTGGGCGTCATCGCCGAGGTCGACGAGGCGGCCCTGCGGAAGCGCCACGCGCAGGGCTGGGTCGACGAGGTCTGCGACGGCGGCGCGGAAGCGTGCGTCGCGCGCGTGCGGGCCGCGCGCGCCGCGAGGCGGCCGCTGTCCATCGGCTTCCTCGGCAACGTCGTCGACCTCTGGGAGGCTTTTGCGGCGGCGCCCGGCGAGCTGCTCGTGGACCTCGGCAGCGACCAGACGTCGCTGCACAACCCGCTCGGCGGCGGCTACGCGCCCGCGGGCCTGACCTTCGACGCGGGCCGCGCGCTGATGGTCGCCGACCCGCCGGCGTTCAAGGCCGCCGTCGAGGCGTCGCTGCGGCGCCACGTCGCCGCCGTCAACGCGCTCGCCGCGCGGGGCATGCGCTTCTGGGACTACGGCAACTCGTTCCTCCTCGAGGCGTCGCGCGCGGGCGCGGACGTCCTGCCCGCGGGCGCGGCGCCGCGCGCGGCCGGCGCCGCGGCGCCGACGGGTTCCGCACCCGACGACG